GCCTGAACAGAATGGGTGGGGGAGAGCAGGGGGAACCTGCTTGGTGGGCTTCACTACAGACAGGGAGGAGGAAGAGCAAGGGGGTCAGGACAGAGGCACCCCGGAGACACAGTGCAGCTCAGGAGGCTGAGGCAGGAGGATCACAAGTTCAAATCCAGCCTCAGCAACTCAGCATGGCCTTAAGCAACTTGGCGAGACTCTGTCTCAGAAAATAAAAGGGGCTGTGAATGTGTCTCAGTGACAAAGTGCCCCTGGGTTCAATCCCTGCTACCAAAAAAATAAAAGAAACAGTGTGACTGTCCCGGTCACAGGAGACTCTTGCAGCGTGGAGACTGTTCCAGATGAGCAGATGGGATGCACGACTGGACATGGAGTCAGCACCTGCCCCCTGCAGCTAGAGGGGCTCCTGCCTTCATGACCAGCTCCCCTTGCAAAGCCCAACCAGCTACGGACGTAGCACATCTGAATTTTAAGAAAAGCGTCAATTGCCCAACCTTGCGTCTGGCTGTCTCCGAGGAACAGCCTTTTCTCTTCTGGAAACTTGGTCAGCCTTCTAGTCTTGTCAAGTCACCTGACAGAGGTGGGGATCGCCTATAAAGATGGATGATTTCAAGAAAAAGACTCTAATGCACTTCCTCCTACCCCGGTGAGAGGGCCATCTGGTTGACCCTCTGCCTTTAGCTACGGGAAGTAAAATGTGAAATTGCCAGCTGTCCCCTCTGGGCGGGCAAGGCTGGGCCATGCTGTCACTGCGGCCTGCTGTCCCCCGCCGCCCTCCCGTGTCCACAGCTCCCCTGCTGCCCCTTCCACCATGGAGCTGCATTATTCACTGTGAGACTGTCACTCTCACCCCTGCTGGGTGCTGCTCCTTCCGTCCCTGCAGCTGTGTGACACGGTCGTCTCACCACATGAGACGGACATGTCACGAATGTGCCCTCGGAGCATCTGAGGGCCCTGTGCTGCGGGGACGCAGGTGCAGAGTTGAGGCCTGATGACGTTAACAGCTTGGTGCGTTGGGCAGTGGGCGGAGGACAGTGGGCAGTCTGGACCCTTTGCCTTCCTTATGAGGGGTGGGGATCTAGTGCCCTTTGGGTAGTTCCTGAGTTTTAGGTCAAGGGCTGCTGCACGGTATCTTGTGACCGTGTCGATAAACGGTAAAGCGCTCTCCGCGGCCTCTGGGATTTCTGAGTCACCACTGCTCTCAAGCTCGCTGGTGTCAAACCCTCACGACGGCCCCCCTCTGGGGCCTCCCCGCCCCACCCTTGGCCCCTGCAGCCTTCATTTTCTCACTTTTAAGATCATCTGTCTCTACCTGACAGTCTTCAGTGGAATCAGCTCTTCTCATCTCAGAGATGACATGATAAAGGGAAGTTCAGGACAGAGGGGACGCTGGGGCCAAGAGAGCTGGGTCACACGGGACAGTCCCCGGGCCCGTGCCAGCCGTAAACGCCTGGGCTCCGCGGGCTGGGGCCGTGGAGGAGAGAGCCTCTTGGTCAGCACACGGGACGCTGTGGTCTGCTTCATTCCGTGACCCTGTGCTTCTTCCTCTTCACATGCACAACCACAACCACAGCATCTAGCTGCAGTCGCAAATTATAAGACAGCAGCGTTCTCTAAAGATGATTTTTTCCTTTAGAACAAACAACGTAGGGAAATGCCTGGTTTGTTGTTAGTGCCTTGTTCGTTTCCTTTCTGCCTGAGTTAAAGGGGACGGGTTTCACTGGGCGTGTCCGTCTGCACTGTGGTTTTAAGATCCTGGCTGCTGAGGCAGTCAATGCACCTGGGCTTGTGTTTACCCTTGGTTGTCTGTATCCATCAGTTGCTTTTCCTCCAGACACTCCAGCCAGGAGCTGCCTCTGGTGGAGACCTTCGCCCGTTCCTTCATCAGTGCAGCACGCGGTCCCCGTGTACCACGGTGCCAAGCTTCACCGCATTGGGACCTTGGACACTGGTGCTGCGGCCTGTTTGGAGCGGCACTGTCGGTTCACTGTAATGTAACGTGCTGGACCCAGCTGCTCTACCACACACCGCTAACCCGGGGACGCGTCTCGGTCACTGTCTCCTCGTGGGCCCCAGCTGACCTCCTGGGTCTGGTACAGCAGCGCCCTGCTCCTCTTAGAGATGGGAGCCAGGCTCCCATGATGCTGGGTGCAGACCTCCACACAGAGGTGACCAGAGGCCTGCACACAGCCCTCAGGCCTGCCCAGCTGGCCCTGGACACTTGCTGTCCTCCAACTGAAGCACGGGTCATCTTGGGGACTGGGCGCCTGCCACGCTCTCCACCTGGGTTGTCTGTTCTCTGTTGTCAGCCCTGTGTGTGTCCTTCAGTGCTGCTCCCGGCCCGCTTCATCAGGAGCAATTCCTGACCTTCCAGGACCCTCCTCCTGCTTCTCCCAACGGATTTATCTGTTTGTCGTTTATCTTCCCAAGAAAGTCGTGTGACTCGGGTTGATAACAGTGTCATTATCTGTTTTATTCACTTATGTATCAAAGGTTCACAGACAGGGCCTGGGAGAGCAAGCCCTAGACAGATGTGTAACGGACAGTTGACTGGACAGATGAATGATGGAGGTGGATACGCAAATGTGGATGGGCGGGTGGGTGGACGGGAGGGTGGATGCAAGATTCGTTCTTCTTTGCACAACTGGTGAAGCATAAATATGCTTTTCAATTTTTCTGGACCTCCAACGCATATGTGGTGCCAAAAGAAGAGGAGATGTGCCGTGGACTCCTTTCCACCCCTGTACAGGCCGAGAAGTGACTCGCGTAACTCCCCTGAAAACCACGCCACCAGAACTGGGTGTGCCGGGGAACGGTTTATCAACTCATTTTGTCCCTCATGGGAAGGAGGGTAAGCTCTACTCACCTTTTGGGGAGTTCAGCTCTATAAATTAAGACGAGGACGGAATTTTGAGGGACAAATTAGATGTTCAGAAAAGTGTTAACCCGAACTCTAACTGCAAGAGCACACTGTGTTCTGGTCACACCCGTGTAGAAATTGAATGTGCACATAGACCCCGGGGTAGAGAGAGCATGGAGAAGCTGGAGGCTGTCCACCACCTTTTCTCTCCATTGTTATCGGCACAGAGTCGTTTGTATGGTAAAGAAAATGACCTGCACTCTGAAAGTAAAATTTGCCCAATGAAAGAGGAATTTAGTGAGAATGTCTTCATCCCCGTGGGTAAGATAGCCTACTAAAAAAATGCAGGAAAACTGCCTGCAAGAGCATCTAGTGCATCTGTGCCCAGGAGCCCAGCAGCGCAGGGACCCAGCACCCCTCGGTCCCTGCCTGCCGACCTCACGGTGTATCTTGCTGAAAGGCTCTTGGTGCAGAACCTCTTCCTGGCCCAGTGAGAGGCAGGAAGCAGGCTCTCTGTCCTCGTTCGGGAAGCCTCTGACTCTTACCCTTCCACCACCAGTACCGACTTCCGAGGTGTGTGTCTGTCTCCGCCCTCGAGTGTCTGCAGGACTCAGCCCTGGGAGCCTGTTGAGCTCAGCCCCTGCACTTCGCCCTGCAGGACTGCCCTCCAGGATCCTGGGAGAGCTCCGTCCACCCTGTCTGGTTCCTCCGGAAGCCGACCCTCCTGTTGTTAGGTGGTGTTAATGTTCTGATGTTCTCTTCTGCCTCTGAGAACTTTCCTTTCGGGTCTTCCTCTGCCTTCCCTTCGGAGGCTACACAGAATAGTCTTCCTCCTCTTTGTCTTCAGTAGTGCGTGTCTTGGGTTTCCGTGGGCCTTCAGTGCACGGTGACCTCTAGTCTTAGTGTTCGAGACTGAACCCTTCCTTCAGTCTCTCTTCATGTGACGTGTTCTGCAAATATCATTGTCTCCTGTCGTCTTTCCAGCCCCACTCTGTGTCTTATCGCCAGTGACAGTTCCAACATGGACCTGTGTATCATATTATGGGGGTGTCTGGGCAGAAGAGTGAGGATTACCTTTATTTTGACTGGTGTGGTTTAAGATATTCCGATGAGCTTCCAGTCACAAATGAAGATGTATTTAAGCATGGCATCGCCTACTCTTGGAGGCTGTCTCCATCCCACTGCCTCTTGGCTTGGTTATTGTGAGTTGTAATTATGGATACGATCAGGGAAGTACTCTCAGATCTAAACAAGGCACAAGTGCCATTTGCAATGTGATTCTTTGTCCTGACGTTCCTGTATAATTTGCTCTTTTACAATTAATTATTAATATGTAACTATCACGCTCTTATTATTGATTACCAATACAGTTAATATGGTTATTAATTCCTAATGATGCTCCCCTGCCTCTCAGGACTGCTATTTGGAGCTCTGAATTCATGGCCACTCACACTGAGGGTGAAGCCAGCTCTGATCCTGATAGAGGTCCGAGTTCTGCTCACCCTTTGGTGCCTTTGGCCACGTCTCAGATTCCTCCTCCCCTGCCCTCAGTCCCTGCTGCAGTGCTCATGTGGGTCCCCGGGGAGGACTGCAGACTGGAGAGGGGACAGGTGGGCCACCAGAGAGTCAAGTCCAGGGGATCTGAGGCCTGTGTGAGGTGACAGAAGAAAAGGCTGACAGTAATGAGAAATGGGCAGATGTTGATGAAAATCAGCATCGAGTGAGTATGTGTCAGCTAAATATTTAAGGTTCACAGAAGTTCATGGCGCAGATGGGAAGAAAGGGGAAGAGCAGAGAAGGCTTGGAGCTGGAAAGCTGCGTCCCAGGGTTGAGTCGGACTTGGAGGTGGACCGGCTGGTGGTAGTGCACCTACCTGCAGTCCTTAGCTGGAGCAGCAGCGGGGGGCTTCACAGCAGCTTGGCCTGGATCACACCAGATTCTTGTTGAGACCAAGTGTCACCCTGGCGAGAGGAGGGACAGCCCTGGTCTCTTCTGCCACCGCAGACAGAGAGGCCAGCCCAGAGCTGGAGCGGCCCGCGGGCGGGAAGCTGCGTCCTGCGGTGGCCTCTGGTTGTGGGCTTCGGGGAGAGGCACTTCCCATTCTTCTCGCTGAATCCTTCTCCTTCTGCGGTTGTTTCAGGAGCTGGTGGGGAGCAACCCTCCTCAGAGGAACTGGAAAGGCATCGCCATCGCTCTGCTGGTCATTCTGGTCATCTGCTCCCTGATCGTCACCTCGGTCATCCTGCTGACACCAGGTACCTGAACTCCCCTCAGCACAGGTCACTGGCCGGGGCCAGGAGCGAGGCTTTACCCTGCGGTGCTCCCTACGCGACGACCCATCCTGTCGCGTAGAGTCCCCCAGATTCTGACTGTGCCGAGTGATACTACGGTGCGGTGACAACGATCCGTGTTATATGCTTTTAATCTGTCTCCACAGTTGACTGGGTAGCGGTGTGTGGCATAAATGTAAACGCACAATTGCGTATTCACTTTTGATGAACCTAAAGACAGTGGCACTAGAAATACGATGATTGTATGTGTGTCTCGTAATTCCTCCGTACTGTATCAAGGGTGAATTTTAAAAATCGCTGAAACAACATAAACTGAGTGTGAATTAAGGGCAAAGTACTTATTAGGTGCCACTGACGAGGTAAAAGCCCCAGTCAGAAATCTCTCTGGGAAAAGACACTGAAATTCGCAGCACCCGTGTCCCCCCATGCTCCACCCAGTGGTCCCAGCAGAGGCCCTGCAGGTGCTCGGGACAGAGGTCCCCAGGAGAAGCTTCATGGAGAAGGCAGGACAGGAGGTGGGCCTCATGGGGAGTCCAGAGCTAGTAACCAGAGGCGTGGCCGTCTCTAGAGTAGCCTTCATCTCTGAGATGACCACGCAGGAGCTGTCACAGGAAAACCCATGGTGACAGGTGAACGCGAGTCTGCTTTCTCCACTCTCAGCCATCATGGCTGCCTGTATGGAGCAAAAGGCGGAAGCCCCAGTCCTCCATAAACAGACCACACAGATGTCAGACTTCGAGATAGAAAAAGAAGTAGACTCTGCAGCGTGAGGAAGATTTTTGATGGATACAAAACACGTAGGCAAATAGGATGCATTCATATTGCCTATGATACAACCATCAGCCTTGAATTTAAATGAGGAAAGATGATCGGCATGCTGGCACCAGACTAGATCACCAGATCACAAGCAAGGGTCACCAGTGACCAGTGTCCTTAGGAGGACAGATAGGAAAATCCTTGCCAAAATAGCAGTGGACAGAACCCAGCAACCCAGAGGAAAGGTTATGCACCACCACCAAATGGGATCCATCCCAGGAAAGGAAATTTGGGTCAGCACGTGAAAATCAGTCAATATAAATAATCCCGTAGGACAGAATAGAGGACAGAACAGACGCGGTCATCTCCACAGACATGGGAGGAACATGTGGCGAAGCCCTTTCATGATGAGACGCTCAACAGTGAGGAAAGAAGCAGTCTCACCCTGAAAACCACATCTGTGGACCCAGGGGGTCCTGAAGGGTCATAAATCTGAAATGGGTGCCCCTAGGCCAGGAACCAGACAGCAGTGTTCCCTGCCTGACCCATTTCCCGTTCCACCGCAGCTTCCACCCAGGGCAGTCAGGGGAGAGGGCAGAAGACAGGCACCCAGACAGGAAAGAGAGGTGCAGAACCCCATTCATAGAAGACCTGGACTGTACCTAGGAAAACTGAGGAATCCACCAATCGTCATGCTCCTTGTAAATAGTAAATGAGTCCAGCAGGATGGACGCAGAAGACCAGTGCACCAAATCACTGTAGCTCTGTGCACTCACAATGGCAGTCCACAAGGAAATCTCAAACACATTCCACTTGTAATAGTTTCAAAAAGAACAAGAAGAGGAATGGTCTGTTCATTTGTTAGGAATGAGACTTGTATAGAGAAAACACCCAAACTGGGAAAAACTGAGAACCCGAGGAGGTCAAGGGGAGGCTGAGGGTCGGGGAGGCTGAGGGTCGGGGAGGCAGGAGTGAAGCTGACCAAGTTGTCCTCTGTCCACATGTGGATACCCAGAGTGAACTTCACCTGTACACTTACCTGTGAATCAGTAATTTAAAAATTAAATAAATAGAAGAAAAACCAGTACAGTAATGGGAAGAGGGGAGGGAAAGAGTAAGTACTGAATTGGAGCAAATTATATTCCATGCTTCTATGGTTGTGCGAAGACGAACCCCAATATTATGTATAACTACAATGTACTAATAAAAATACATTAAAGGAATTGAACAAAAGACTTGAGTAAATGGAGGGCATCCCTTGTAAATGGATTGAAAGATATAACATTGTTAATAGGGCCATATTCCCTAAATTGATCTGCAGGCTCATTTCAATCCCAACTGCCTTTATTAAAGAAATCGCTAATTGATTATAAGAGTCTTACAAAAATGCATGGGAATCAGAATAATCAAAAAAAGTTTTAAAAGAATAATTAGAAGACTTGATCTCCTGATTTTAAAACTTACTATAAAATTACAGTGATTAATAAATGTGTCATGCCAGCATCTGAACAGATATATAGACCCTGGACTAGAATTGAGAATTCTTAAATAGTTCCACACATCCACAGTCGGCTGCTTTTTGGTAAAGGTTCTAAGGCCATGCAAGGGGACAGAATAGTATTCCACAAATTGTGCTGACACAACCGAATTTCCACACACAAAAGAGTAAAGTTGAACACTAACCTCATACCATGCGGATCTGATACCTAAATATAAAAGCTAAAAATCTATAAATTTCTAAAGGTAAAACATAGCAATAAGTATCTGTGACCTTATACTAGGCAATAATTTCTGATTGTACCCAAAGTGCAAGCAACCAAAGAACAAATAGATAAATTAGATTTTGTCATACTGAGCTTTTAGTGTGTCAAAGGACATCATCAAGCAAGTGGAAAAAACCCTCACAGAATGTGACAAAATATTTACAACCAGCAAAAGTTGTATCTGGAACATATAAAGAAATCATAACTTAAAACAGAAATGCAATTATATAATCCAACTTAAATTCAGGAAAAGTGTTGATAAGTTATGAAAGAAAGGCAAGTGGCCAATGAGTACTTGAGAAGATTCTCAGCGCCATTGGACATTGGGGAAATGACCATCAAGCCACAGTGGAATATCACCTCGCCAACGTGGATATAAAGACAAAAAGCAAAGAACAAAGAGGAAAATAATAAGAGTTGACGAGGATATATGGAGAAACTGGGACCTTTGTACATTACTGGTGGGAATAGAGATTGTGGGAAATAGTTTGGAATTAAACTACCATATCATGCAGTGTTTCTGCTTCTAGATAAATACCAAGAAAATCAGAAATGTATTCATACAGAAGCTTGTGTGTGAGGCTCCTAACAGCGTGATTCATGGTTGTCATAAGGTGGAAACAACCCAAATGTCCATCACCTGGCAGATGAACAAGCAGGCGTGGCCCGTTGTACACCGGACCCTCCCTCAGCCTGGAAAAGAACAGAGGGCCGCACGCTGGGCTTGGAAAACCTTGCCACATTAGGCTAAGTGAAAGACTGCCGGTCCCAAAGGCCCCACGGTGGATGATTTCAGCCCCGCCAAATGCACACAGAAACAGGGAAGAAGGGCAGCTTCCAGGGCCTGGGGAAAAGTGCCGTGGAACATGAAATGTCCTTTCTAGGTGATGAAATATGGTGGAACTCCATAGTGGTCATGGACGCACATTTGCTGGTATTTAAACAAAAAGGAGTTGCACATGGTAAAAGGGCAAAATATGTGATATGTAAATTTTTTCTCAATCAAGCTTTTAGTTTAAAAAATGATGGGAAAGTTGTAAAAAAAAAAAAAAAAAGAAAAGAAAGAGGAGCAATCTGGGCATTTATATATGAAAGAAGTGTCATAAAAACCTGCCTAACCCCGAGAGGTTCCAGCAGCAGTTCTGCAGACCTGAGCATCATGTCGTCCTTTGCGAGTGAGCCCACGAGTACGCCAGAGACATCTGGGACGTGGGGACTTGGGGCGCCACACCATGAACAGGAGAAAATGGGCTCAGTGGTTGGGATCTAAATGGGAGGAATCGGGGAGGATTCCTCTCACAGATACCTGTTGGGGTTTGTGGTTGTGCTGCTGCTGATAGAACCCGGCAGGGGACTTTGACAACTGCATATTTAAATCACTGTGAAGGAGATCCAGCTCCCTAGACCTGGGGACACGTTGCTCCCTTTGCTCTGCACAGAGTCATGTCCTACGCTAACTGGAGTGGTTCAGGATGTGTCACTCCCTTTGGGACGAAGCACACAGGGGTGTATGTCACGTGCAGTTTCTACCGCCCTCCCAGAGAGCCCACACATGTCCATGTCACTGGCTGCCCGGAGCTCACGCCAGTGTCACTCAGAAGTGGGGGAGCTCCTGCACAGATGGTCTGTAGTGACAGGGAGGTGACTAGAGTAACACAGGGCCCAAGAAGCCGCTCCAGGACCCTCCCTGAGCCCAGGTGCTTCTCCGCTGTGCAGGGAGTGGGCAGCTCCCGCCCTCTCTGTGCAGCAGGGCAGCCCCGGCAGCATCTCCCCTGTCGTAAATAGAGAATAAAGTCATCGTGGGCCGCTCTCTCTTTGCATGCTGACACCAGTGGTCAGGGACAGTGAGGAGCTAGAGGCCAGCACCAGGCTGGGGCTCAGGTGGATCTCCGTATCCCAGCAGGCTTTGAAGGGGGGTTTCCTTTATTCTTCTGTTACGCCCACTGCGGAGCCCTGTTTACCCCTTTGGTTCCGCGGCGTCCACGGTGGTCCTCACTGCTGCAGGCCGAGTTGTCCAGGAGCGCATGCCCGGGCTCAGGGAGAGCAGCGGCTGGTGTTCCTTGGCCTCCTCCCGTCACAGACTATGCCTGTCCACTCTCCTGCAGTGCTGGTGGATTTTGGCGTTCAAAACTGTGGCTGGCAGAGAAGGTCTCAGATCCTTTGACCTGCCACCAGCCCCAGGGGGTTGTCAAACTCCCCGTATTCAGAGCACCCTCAGGTAGCCACCAGTACGACCTGTCAGTCCAAGGTCAGTGGCCCCCTGTGGGGGCTGAGGACGCACGCCAAGTCCTGGGAGAAATGTGGAAATGCTGAGTGTTCTCCTGAAGCTTAGATCAGGAGACCACAGCGTGGTGGGCAGGAGGAAAACACGGAAGGCTGGACAGAAACCTGTAAGGACGCTCACAGCCCGGGGCAGTGGGGCGGGTGGCTGAGAGACCCGGAGGA